AAAGGGCTAAATTATTATTTTTCTGTTTACCATTATGTACTTATTTGTTTTTACAATTTTCAACTCGGAGAGGCCCCTCTGACCTTTGAGGCCCTAAGCTATAGCTTATCTAGCTTATACCTAAATCTGGCACTGGGGGAGTCAATATATCAATTGTGGATAAGCAGGGATGTGAATATTGGGGTTGCAAAATTTGAAATATTCCTGTATTCTGTTTTGGTGACTGTGAAGTGATTTTTGCTATGCTTTTTTGACTGTAAAGTCCTTTGCCTCTGTTGTTGTGAACATGATGCGAGCAGTGTCAGCTGCTATCATTATTTTTACATTATCATCAGTGTTTTTCTTGCCTTTACAGTAAGAGAACCTCACTAACTTTCAGATAGTATTCAGTCTTTGTGACAGGTGATATCAATCAGTTTTTGTGAAGGGCTTTCACTCTGTTGCTGAGGCTCTAGTGACTGGGAAGGCCAAGGCACCCAGGAAACCAGTGTCTCCGGAGGCAAAGCTCTACATTGTGAAGCTATTGTGAAGCTATTTGGGAGTCAGAGTGTCATCACCACTCCACCTTCAAGAGTCCCCCTAGCCTCGAAGGGGACATGTAATGACGACTAGGCTTGTTCTAAATGATGTGGCGAGTGCTGTTTAGTTGTGTTTTAGGTATTTTTTTATTATAGGAATTTTCTTTTGGGTAATACGTCTGGATGTCGGACTGGCTTCGAACGTATCCCATTAAACCCCACGTTATAAAACTCCCAATTTACGATATTTTGACTTAGGATAAGTTGGTGAAAAATGTAACCCCATCATAAATTGGGGGATACCTGTACTCAAGTACATTATATTCTCAATTTCATGGAATCCGATATAACGAACTCTCAAATTTAGCGGAAGGAGTTTTTTCCGTAATTTTTCGCACGATTATTAATTCCGTTAATAAGCTCACACCTACGGAGACACCTCAGATTCATGATATGTACATAGGAACATCAGAAACATTATTCATGGCTTACCTTATACTAGGGGGTTCCGTGTTTGTTTACAAATTTGTCTATAATTTCAAAACTTTTTCCAATTGATAGGCGCACTCTTTTGACTTTCTCCCCCACACCACTCCCTTTCTGAAACTTCCGAGATATTTTCAGCATGATGTCTAAGCACAGTAGTTAGTTGACTGAGAGGTAAGTGAACAACACACACGTGGTGGTGGCAGGACATAGACCGATAAGATGTAAACAAACCAAACGCGCCAAGTGGCACATTTGGCGTGAAATTTAATGGAATCATGGTCGACTTAGCAAACTAGTTCGCAGGTAATAGGCAGCTATCAAACAGAGAGGTACTACTACTGCCTGGGAAGATATTGGAAGTATAATGTATTGTCTAATGGTAGACCCTAGTGCCATATGGCATCACAAAAATTGTGACCAAGTCCCAGGTTGCTGATCTGACTTTCTGCCTCATTTACATACAATTGCAGGGTCTCAATTGTTTCACGTACTACACACAGTATATAATGTTTCTCACTTTTGATTTTTTTTCCATTTTTGTATTTCTTTATACCTGTAGTTCTTTATTATTATTATTATTATTATTATTATTATTATTATTTTATTTTCAAATTTGTACTTTATTATAAATTTTATTTACTAGTAATTAATATTATTATTATTATTATTATTACATTTTTGCCCCCCAGGCCCCAATGTGGGTCAGTGACCTGTGCCCAGGTGGGCTAGCCCCAGTAAAAAGAAATTCTGGGGCAGTTGGGGGGAGTTGGAGATAACACTGCTTATCTGAACTGTTTAAAGAAAATCAGTGGTTATATTATTATGGCACTTCAACAACTAAGATCTTTAAGTGTATATCAAGGTTATTAAAAGAATATTACAACAACAATAAAAAAATATACATTTGAAACAGAACTCTCTGGGTTGAAAATCAGACATGTAAGTCTGGTTGTCAACAAGATGATTGTTATTTACTGTAAAGTGTTATGTGTAAGTAACCACAGAATTTGTCTTATGAATAAAGATAAAACTGTATATTGGACAGTACTATAAAGATAAAAATAAGAACAAATAAGTGTAGGAGTATATTGTGTGTGGAAGATGCATTTACCTGGGAGCAGCTGCCAGAGAGGTGGGGGAAAGGAGGGGGGGAAACCAGAGGTGGGTGGCACCCTCCCCCTCTCTCCCAAAAGATTCCACCACAATTCTCATATAACTTAGGATCATTTGTTGCCAGGTTAATTAAATATTTTCCTAAAAGAATCAACTTTCCTGAAAAATAATCCCACACTGAACACCAGGAGTCATTTGTTTACAAAGTGCAAACAGTTGATTGGCTTACCACAATGTCTGTCTTCAACACTTAGTAAATTAGTACAGTATAGCTGTGTATTTATCATAACTTAATAAATACGATTGTAGTGTTTTATCATCACTTAAGTAATACTGTAGTGTAAAAGTATCAATCCCCAGCCTGCTTACAGACTCAAGTGTCTCAGTTCTCAGTAGGCCTACCGTATATCACGGCCTATAAGGCGGCGGGGTGCATAAGACGCCCCCCCCAAATTTCCATTTAAAAAGTAGCTTTTGAGCTCTATTTGCTGTATAAGACCAGTACCCCAAATGTGACACTTACCCACTGACTCAGTAGTCCTTTACCAACCATCCTTGATTTTTTAAAATAAGGCCAATTCACTTCAAGTAATGTCATCAAATTATACCCGCTGGTGTAGTGTAAACACTAGTGACGTCACTGAAGCGTGGTGGGAGTGTTCCCTCGTCTCGGTGGTGTGACTATTTATACAACATGTGGTTCAACAGCAACCACCGTATTCTAATTGTGGTGTTTCATTAGGATTTGAGTGAAAAAGGTTACCAGTATGTACTTACTACATACATTTATTACATATATATATATATATATATATATATATATATATATATATATATATATATATATATATATATATATATATATATATATATATATATATATATATATATATATATATATATATATATATATATATATATATATATATATATATACTGAATATACTATGTACAAAAAATGAATGTTCAATGAATTATTTATGGTGCATTAGGGTACTGGTCACTTCTGATGGGCTATAAATAGCCTTCTTTATCTCCCCTCCATCTCACCCTGAGCCAGACGGAAGGGTCTTGGTAAATAACATGTTTGCTTATTTTCCATTTACTTTAAATAGATTTACCGAATTATTTGTTTTATTTATTTATTTATAATATACTGTAATATATTAAACACACTGTAATTATTTTCTTTAATTTATAAACTGTTTTGCGACAAAGGAATGTTCTCCAGTAGTGTTTCATTAGGATTTGAGTGAAAAAATATTACGTACTTACACAATTGTTCCTCTTACTTTGACAACACAACATACATACAGTATATTATTTCTCAGTTTTGATCTTTTTTTTTAATTTTTGTATTTATTTATAGTTAGTTACTTAAAATAAGGCCAATTCACTTCAAGTAATGGCATCAAATATTACCAGCTGGTGTAGTGTAAACACTAGTGACGTCACTTGAGCGTCTGTAATTAACCGTCGATAGTTTCAAGAATTAATGCACTCATTTACTGAATATTCTTTGTAAAAAAATAAAATTTAAATCAATTATTTATAGGAGATAAATATTATTATGAGTAAATATACCGATACCGGTATGCATTACTGACCACCTCCACGGCTAAAAATAGCCCAATCTCGGGTCACTTTCCCTTTCTTGTCTCCTCACTGGCAAATGGGGGGGGCGTGGGGAGGGGTGTGTGATGATAGCTGTGTTTATTACAGGGGTATAAATCTCTTTTACGGTATGTTAGACAGGTTTATAATACATTTTTATTATTTTAATATACCGGTAATCTTAATTTGAATCCAGCTTGCCAAACTTAAGTTTCAGTATAAAATAATTAGTGGTAAGACCTTGTGAGTGGCTTACGATGTTTTCATCACCACTCTTGACACACTAAACCACAATATTTAAGAGGGAAGAATTTTAAACTTGGTGGTTTAGACGACCCCCTAACTTTGGGCAGATTTTTTTAATGTTCAAATTTCGTCTTATAGGCCGTGATATACGGTATAGCAAATCTGATTAGACCACTGCACAGTATTCAGTAAGTATAATTCATTTCATAACTTTTTTTATTTAATCTTACCCATTTCTTATAAAAAAAAGAAAAAAGAAAAAAAAATTCTGGTGACCAAAGCATCTCAGAGTCCCCAAAAACTGAATTCCGATATATTGAAATTTGATTTATCGAGGTTTTACTGTAATAATAATAACAATTAAAATAATAATAAATTTAATACAAAAAAAAATTATAAATAAAAATACATGTAATAATAATAATTATAATAATAATAATAATAATAATGATAACGATAATGATAATAATAATAATAATAATAATAATAATAATAATAATAATAATAATAATAATAATTATTATTATTATTATTTTACTATGTGTATTTCTATTTATAATTGTTTTATTAAAAATTGATTTTGATTTTTTTAAATTATTATTATTATTACATCGAGAAAAATAATGGAAATTCAATTTAGCAGAACTTTAAATTTAACGGAGAGGGATGGCTCGAATTAGTTCGTTAAACTGATAAAATACTGTATATATGGTGCAGTATAATGTACATGAAAAGGACAAATTAGATGAAAAGAAAAGCTAATGTTGAGAAGGCGTGATCTGGATGGATATTTATAGCTAATTTGCTCCTCCAATGAGCCATAAAATGACATTCCCAAGTTCAATCCTTCTTTTGATAAAGTGACAGTGGTAATGGCCAAGAAATTGACAAAATTATACCTTATTTTTTTTTAATACCAGTATGTAAGCTCACCAGTAAGTTCTCCTTCAAATTTTTTATGGCAATCTTATATCTTCATTAAAATTTTCAATTCCTTAAAAAAATAAAAGTTCTACTCACCATGTTTTTCCCTGAGAGCACGCACAGCAAGCTCTGTGCACTGTGTTGCTTTTCCAATCTGCTTGTCTGAGAATCCAAGTTGCTTTGCTTGACGAAGAAATATTTCAGACAATTCTTCATAACAAAGATTCTCCAGGTGATCATACATAGATGTAATATTCTGAAACACCATAAGATGTTTTAAGTTCAAATAATCTAAAGTAATCCAATAAGTTAATGTACAATAAAGTTAATTTGAAGCCATCCTTTGAAAACAAAGCGTGGTAACTACCTAATAATAAATATATTAGCCAGCATTAAGTACAGTGGTAACAGAATGGCATTCCACTACTTTTTTCTCTAACAAGACTATACCTCTGAATGTACTGACACCATTGAAAACATGTAATTTTATTACATCATGAAATCGTCATATGTACCCGTGACAAGCGGGGTACCACAGGGCAGTACACTGGGCCAAAAGTTGCTTGTTTGTTTCATAAATGCCATGCCAGAAGTTATACATTCTTCCATACAATTTCTTGCAGACGATGCCAAGTTATTCAAGAAAATTAAGTACCAAACAGACTGTAAAGACCTAGAGAAAGATCTCTGTCAGCTTACAGAGTGGTTGAAGAAGTTGAGTGATTTATTTTGTTATGTCTAAAGAGATGGATTGGGAACGCCAACATATATACATGCGCATTTAAGGATACAGCGTCATTTATATTAAGAATATATATATATATATATATATATATATATATATATATATATATATATATATATATATATATATATATATATATATATATATATATATATATATATATATATATATATATATATATATACAGTTGGTCCTCATATTACGCGGTTAATGTAACCCGGAGGGTACCGCGGAAAGTGAGAAACGCGTAAAGTGAATAACATAACATATGGGATTAATTGAAATGGAGTCCGGGCCGATCCCCAAACTCCACTTTTTGACGACACACAACTATGTTGTAGTAAAAATATTATCTTAACTTTATGATGGCATGCACACACAATTAATAATTAAGAGAAATATCAATAATATTAGGTTTTTTAACACTTACATTAGTAGAAAAGATGGCTGGGCACACGGGGATGGGCGGTTGGTTCCGAGGCAGAGGGCAGATTATTGGCCCTCACCTGTATCACTTGTATCAATTGTATCACTATCCACCACAGAGGCTTGCAGGGCCTCTTTGTCAAACCCCCCAAAGTTCATATAAGTCCATATCCTCACTATAATTATCACTATCACTGACTTGGGCCGGCTGTAGTGGGTGGCGGGTGAAGAACTGGTCATGTTTTGATGACTGGGCGACCTTGTGCGCACCATTCTCGCGCTTCTTACACAACATGGCGGATGGCGGGAGGTTTAGATCCAAAAATGGCGCGGCTTGCCAGCCGCTCTCCGTGTAATGGGGTTCACGACCGCGGAATGTGAAAATGTTAGGTTCTGGCAAGGCGCCGCGTTAACGGTGAAACGCGGAATGCGGGACCGCGTAATATGAGGACCAACTGTATGTGTGTATATATATATATACAGTTGTACCCCACTTAACGCGGTCAATTGAACCCAGAGGGTCCCGCGTTAAGTGAAAACCGCGTTAAGTGAATAACAGAACATATGGGATTAATTCCAATAGAACCCAGCCCGACCCCCAAACTCCACTTTTTGACGACAAATAACTATGTTGTAGTAAAAATTCTATCTTAACTTTATGGTGGCATGAAAAACAAGTAATATAGAAGAGGTTAGGTTAGGAAAGATAAAGGTTAACATAGGAAAAATAAAGAATAGGTTAAAAAACGAAAATTTTTGAGGAACACTCACGGTAGTAGAAGAGATGGGTCGGCATACGGGGATGGAGGCTGGTTCCGAGGCAGAGGGCAGATTACTGCCCCTCAGGTGAATCACCATTACTAGGTGAATCACCATTACTAGGTGAATCAATATCACTGTCACTTACAGTTGTTATGGCTTCCCTGACAAATCCCTCAAAATCAACTTCACTATCACTATCACTGGCTTGGGCTGGCTGTGGTGGGTTGCGGGCGAAGAACTCGGTTATGCTTTGCTGACGGCTGGCTTTGATGTTGTCATGATACACCGTGATGTACGGCTCCATAGCCTGCACCAGTCGGGTATGGAAGACGTCATGGCGTTCATCGTCAGTGTCGCGGGAAACGATGGACTTAATTTTTTCTGTTAACTCTATGACACACTTAATATCACTATGACTTAAACTAGGTTCTTCGGAGAATGACGCACCTTCTTCCTCCTCTTCACTGGCGGGTTCTTCTTCCAACATCTCGTCGGCAGTCACTTCAGGATCTCTGATCACCTCCATGATGTCTTCGTTGGTGGTCTCGGAGAAGCCTTCAGCTGTAACAGTCTGCGCAGCTTCTCTGGCAAGGTCCACTGCTACTGCAACAGTCTGAACCTGACCAGTCACAGGTTCACTCCTCCTCTCACCTGGTATGCCATGCAACACATGTCTCCATGCGTGACGAATCGTAGCAATAGACAGCAGATTCCATGCCTCCACCAAGAAGTCTACAGCTTGTTTGACGTTAAACTTCTTCCAAAATTGTTTGACGAGAAGTTCTTGAGTCGCCGCCTCTTGTTCCTTGTCCTCGTCGCTTTTACTCTCGCTGTCGGTGTCACCCAGCTTACGCAACTCATCCTTGGTGTTGGTAGAGTTGTTCAGGAGCTTGAATTTCTTTGCCGAGTATGCAGCTTTAACATTGCAGATTAACTCCTGGTCCATGGGCTGGATTAATGACGTAGTATTGGGAGGAAGGAAGACCACTTTTACGTTGGGGTGACGATCCATAAGTAGGGGCGAGTGTCCAGGTGCGTTGTCAAGGAGCAACAAAATATTGAAAGGAACATTCTGTTGCTCGCAGAATTTCTGCACGTCAGGAACAAAACAGTTGTCAAACCAGAAGAGGGACAGAGAAGAGGACATCCACGCCTTACGTGCGGTTAGCCAGTGGAAATTAAGCTTGTTCATGTCCATATTCTTGTAGGCGTGCGGCTTGCGGGCTTTGTGAATCACCGATAACTTTGGTTTACAGGTACCGGAGGCATTGGTGGTAAACAGGACGGTGATGCGTTCCTTCTGCATCTTCCGGCCCCTTACCTTGCTCGCAGACTGGACAACGAAGGTCTTGGAAGGTAACTTTTTCCAGAAAAGACCAGATTCGTCCATGTTAAACACCTGGTCGTCACTGTACTGTCCTTCCTCCATAATCTCACGTAAAAACGGAGGAAAATCTCTAGCCGCCGCACGGTCAGCACTCGCTTCCTCACCAACAATGCTGATGTTGGTGACCTTGTTCCTCCTCTTAAACCTATGCAGCCAACCATGGGAAGCATTGAAGGGTTTGGGCTCTGCAATTCCCAGTTTACGTGTCACTGCTGCGTATAGCTCACGTGCGTACTCCTGCACTGAGCGCGTGTCCACCGCCATGTTGCGTCGCGCCTGACGCACCAAATAACTCACCAGCAAAGTTTCCACTTTTGCCAGCACCCTGTTCTGGCAATACCTGATAGATGAAGCACCTGCAGACTTTGTGATCTTCATGTGCTCCTTTATCTTGGCTGCATCCTTCTTTATTGTACGAATCGTAGATTCGTTGACGCCATGCTGGCGCGCGAGATCAACTTGGCGTCTTCCTTTCTCCAAATCTTGAACAATTTGGTACTTCAGCTCGTAGCTTAATGAACGTCGTGTCTTCTTTGGTTTAGTGCGCTGGGTCCAGGTAAGGAAAGGTTTCTCTCTGGGGGTGGTGGTCCGGCGGAAGCCATTTTACGGAACAATGGATGCGCGTTAACCCGGCGTGGCCTTGAGGGATGAAACTGCCGCGGCTAGGTCAAGCGTCGTCTCTCCTCCCTCCCTCCCTCCCCGGGGTAGTCACGTCATAATACTTTAAGCCAATTACAGCTAGCAGCAGAGGGGGGTAGGGCTGCATGGCCAATCACAGTCCGAGACGTCATATGACGTCAGTGATAACGCAACAAAGACACACACTGCGCAACCTTACCGCGCCGCTTACCCAAGCGGAGGGAGGAGGAGGGAGAGGCAGGCAGGGAGGAGGGCGGGTGGGTGGCGCGTGGCGCGTGGTCAAAATCTAAAAATAGCATCCGAGCCGGACACTCACCGCGTAGCTGTGGAAAAACCAGCGTTAAGTGAAAGTTCAGCTTTGGCAAGGCACCGCGTATATGATAAAACGCGTTAAGTGAAAGTGCGTTAAGCGGGGTAATACTGTATATATATATATAAATATATATATATATATATATATATATATATATATATATATATATATATATATATATATATATATATATATATATATATATATATATATATATATATATATATATATATATATAGTACAGGTTGACAACCCTTTATCCGAAATTCCGAAAACCGAAAGTTTTTTGTTTAGCAAATTTTTTTTTAATTTTCTTTTTTTTTTACAGGGATTAGCCCACCCGGGCATAGATCACTGACCCACATCGGGGCCTGGGGGGCGAAAATGTAATAGTAATAGTAATAGTAATAGTAATACTAATTATAATAATAATAATAATAATATTAATTCTAATAATACCCTTAATTATTCATAGAAAATAAAAATTTTAATTAAAAAATACACGAAAATAAAATAATAATGATAATAATACTGTATTAATAAAATAATAATAATAATAATAAAGAAAAAAATGAATTAATAATGAAAAAAAGATAAAAAGTGAGTAACATGACCTAGACCTATGAATTATTATTATTACCTGTATTATTATTATTATTATTATTATTATTATTATTATTATTATTATTTTATTATTATTATTATTATATTTTAGCCCCCAGGCCCCAATGTGGGTCAGTGACCTGTGCCCGATGGGCTGATCCAAAAAAAAAAAAAAAAAAACCTAACCATTCTGAAAACCAAAAAATTCCGAAATGCCTCTGGTCCCAAGGATTTCGGATAAGGGATTGTCAGAACATATGGGATTAATTCCAATAGAAACTGGACCGACCCCCAAACTCCACTTTTTCCGACACAATACCTATGTTCTAGTAAAAATAACATCTTAATTTTAAGATGGTACATGCACACAATTAATACTTAAGAGAAATAGAGAAATACAGTCGCCAAGTTAATGTCCATTCAAATAATGGACTCAACTCCCTCCCCCTCTTCTCACACTACACTGCTGGCTCTTCCCTCTCTGAGAAATTTTGGGGGGAAAACCACTAAATTTTAATAAATAATACCTCAAACTAAAGTTAGGATAATACAATTGACATTGCTGGATTCCTTGTAAGACCAGGAATATTTTGAATATAAATGTCATATATTTTGCACAAAAGATAACATAGTTACTCAGAAAATTTTGTTATCTAAAATTTGTATGTCTAATGCAAAATATATGATGTTTATATTCAAAATGATCACCAAATTATAAGAATTCCAGCAATGTAAATTATATTCTGGCCGGGTAATTTGTATGAATTTTATGAGCTAAAACAAATATCTTCAGTTAATAAAAAAAAATATATATTCTTCACGGGGTAACAGATGGTCGGTCGGACCCTCCCTGCCCCCCACCCTCCACCAACTGTCCCAAGGAGATGTGTGGGAAAACCAGAATACTTAACTTTTTTGTAATAAATAATACCTCAAACTAAAGTTAGGATAATATAATTGACATTGCTGGATTCCTTGTAAGACCAGGAATATTTTGAATATAAATGTCATATATTTTGCACAAAAGATAACATAGTTACCCAGAGAAAAAATGTTATCTAAAATTTGTATGTCTAATGCAAAATATATGATGTTTATATTCAAAATGATCACCAAATTATAAGAATTCCAGCAATGTAAATTATATTCTGGCCGGGTAATTTGTATGAATTTTATGAGCTAAAACAGGCAGTCAGGCAGGGTGGCGGGTGGGGCAAATCTAAAAATAGCGTCTTGAGCCGGACACTCACCGCGTATATGTGAAAAAATCCGTGTTAAGTGAAAGTTCAGCTCTGGCGAGGCACCGCGTATATGATAAAAACGCGTTAAGTGAAACCGCGTTAGGCGGGGTAATACTGTGTGTGTGTATATATATATATATATATATATATATATATATATATATATATATATATATATATATATATATATATATATATATATATATATATATATATGGGTGATTAGAGAGATGGAGTGGAGAGGAGTGGAACATGCACCGTGTTGACGTTTATCTCACCTCCAGGCAGTCACACAACAAGACCCTCAATGGATGCTTGTTGTCTTAATTCCCATGTGTGTGTTGCTTACACCAGCCTTTGTAATTCTGCAGATCTATTTATATAATTTTTTTGCTAGGACTATGCCACGAGACAGTGGCTCTTGTGACATTTGCTCAGCTCCAAGACAGGTAGATACATTTACAAACATAGCTATTTAAGTCATCAACCTAAAATTAGTCTTAACATTCTATGGACAGGGTACAGTACAGTATTTGAATATAGCAAATTTTATATGTAGCAGACCTACCTTCATCTTGTACAGGAACCACTTATCTATTCTTGTTAGATTATACAATCTTTCAACATCCCATCCTTGTTTCAGAGCTGCAGCCAGTACCAACATTCGTTTATCTGTTGGCTGCTGAAGTTCCTGAAATAAAAAAGTGAAAATTTCAATAAGTGGTCTTTTCATAGAACAGGTATAGACCCTCATATCCAGGACTCTTGGGATCGAGACCAAACCGATTTTGAGGATTTTCGAGTTTCCAGGGCCCTAGGTCATCCATGTTACCTTGGGTCTACCAGTAGCCAACCTCAAGTTTTGCTTCCACACACTGCATCACTCACACAAACTAGGTTGAGCGTTTGTTGCATTTCTTGCACAAATAAAAAAAAATAATTAGATACAATTTTGTATGTTTGTATGTCTATGTAGATCTAGATGTCACTGTATCTTGGGTTTGTTTACAATGACTGTAGGAACAAAATTCATAGGAGAAAAGAAGTCACAAAAAATTCAGAGTTTGGTAAGGTTTCCATTTTTCAACATGTTGAAAATAATTAATTTTGGATAGTTTTTCTATTGAGCAAAGAAAACCTAAAAAACCCAACCCAGTCAACCTAACGTAACCTAACCCAGCCAATATACCCCTACACCAACCAACCTAGCCCAACGCTAATCAACCAACCAACCCAACCTAACTCGGCCAACAAAACTCAACACCAACCAACCTACATAACCCAACCCCTCACCTAACCTAACCAATCTAATGTAACCCAACTACTCTAATGTATCCCAACCCAATTAACCAAACCTAAATTGTCCTAACCCAACCTACCCTAACCTGCCCCAACTCAACTTATTAATGATATCTAAATAAAATTTAAATTTTTTTTATGACTTTTCCTAACCCAAATTGTAACTATTTCTTACTTTTTCCCGTTCACCGTGCAATGTCTGACTCCCAAAAGCTTCTTGTGTGGAGACATTTGGAAGAAATAAGAGAGTTCATAATAAATGTATTGTTGGATTGAATAAACAGCTTACTACAGTTCTTTAATTAGCTTTATTTGTATCAATACTGTATAATATATCAGCGTTTACATTACGGGGAATAGCCCACCGGGGCACAGGTCATCGACCCACAATGGGGCCTAGGGGCCAAAAAAATAAGAGCAAAAAGAAATTAAAAATAGAAAAGAAAAAGTCTATATTAATCTACAGCACGAAGATGTGGGAAAACCATCTTTTTGAAGCGAGACAGATTGTGTGACCGACAGCCACACAGAAACGGTGGGCACCACGGGCAAGACGAGTGTTACGAGCACACGGTCTTGCCAGCGGTACACAGGATGCCAAATTCACCGAACATTGCCCGTTTAAGTACATGTAAAAGAGAGAGAGTGAAGCAACACTGCCACAAAGAGAAAGAGGAGAGAGATTATCAACTAAAGGACGAGTTAATAAGACGAAATGCCTTGGATTTCAGCTTATCTAATAGTTGGACAGAAAAAGAGCCACCCCAGATATGAGAGCATTACTCCAAGTTAGGATGAATGAATCCCTTATATACTTGAAGCAACTGCTCAGGAGTGAAGTAGCTACGGCATCTGTACAGCATTCCCAGCTTTTGGGAGGCAGCTTAGGAATGTTGAGGATGTGCGGCTTCCATGACATATTAGAGTAAATGGCGAGGCCTAGCATATCTATTTTAGAATTTGGCAGAATTATAGCGTCCTGAAATGTGATTGGTGGGAGACCATCTAATCTGGAAAGTGCAATTGGTAAATACAGTACTGAGTTTTAATACTGTTGAATTTAACCAAGTTTATACCTCCCCATTCAGAGATGCTGCACAGAATAAATAATAATAATCTACTATCATGCACACAATTCCTGTAGGATTTGGTCCAGGAAAATTCAGGCTACGGTTCCCAGTTTATTGGTGTGGCTAGGAGAACTGTGCTCTAGCATGGAGCGAGAGTGAGTGGCCATTCCGAGGCTGCCCACGAGTATATATACCAGCTGACTGAACGAAGCTGTCTCGGCTCAAGTCTCGAAGCAAGTTCAGCCACATCAGCCAGCCGACTTAACAACAGTTACAGAAGCATAATGGCTAGTTACAACAATTATAGGCATCTGTTAACTATGTTACATTACATTATATTATATTACATACTTACCTTACATTATATTACATAGTTATATTATTCTTCAGTCGCTACACTCCCTTCCAAGTAACCAGCCACAGATTGAGACTTAACCACTTGAAGGTGAAACAATGAAGCCACTGAAGGAAGTGCGTTGATGGCCCAACATCTATTTGACCATCAAGGCACTTCTGTCAGCTGCGTCACTAACTTAACCTCAGGCGATTTGGACTCCTACTGTGGCTGGTTACTGAGAAGGACTTTAATACACTATTATACAGTACAGAGGGCCTACCAAATTCTCGGGGGTTAGGTTCTCAAAATGGCTGCGAATCACTAAATCCACAGATAACATTTGCAGACAAGGGGGGGGGGGGGGTTGAATCGGCTGTTTTGTCCAATTAACCAGGCCGTTCACATATATTTATTATTTGGGTTTAAGTAACGAAACCCAAACTGTAGTTCCTTGTTTTATTATAAAAGGATTGTATCTATAATTTCTGAGTGTAGATCGACCGTAAGTTCCACTGTATATGAGTGAATGAGAAAGGGACGGCGTTTATGTATTATAAACGTTAGGTCACGTCCTTACGATATAACTTGCTGTGAGCGACTCATGAGTAGTGACCCATTGAGGGAGAACGGTATGGGTACGTCGTTCCCCCTCGAGGGAAGACGGAGCCATTCACTGCGGCTCTCAAATAACGTCTTCCTCTAGTCAAGGCTATCAAACTACTGCTCGCTTCAGGTGGCCAGAGAGCCGGCTACCTATGCCTTTACTCAGCATAGTATGACGCAGCTTCCCGCGGGCACACCTTATCACGTGCATTGAACTTGTCACCTCATAGCCAGTGGAAAGTTACAGGGTGGTGAATCTGAATATAATATCAGATGTATTGACCCATTTATATAACATGTTCTGTTGATGAGACGGGCCCATTACATCGCTCGGTCATCTACCAGCTGAGCTCCGTGAGGCCTAAATAACTCGCAGAGTACAGTACATCCTAGACAACCCTAACCATGTTATAAACAGATATGTAGACACTAAGCTGGGGATTCTACTACTGTAGGGGTATTAGCTACTACAGGGGACCTATACGGTAGTGTCTTACGGGTTAGTATGTTATGAACAATGTTGAATTTGGATGACACTGCCTTGTAATAACAGAACAGGAACTTGATGTAAAACACAAACATTAGTGCCAATATCAAAAGCAACATGGCAGAAATAATCTTCACCTATTTCGTGGTTAATAACGCACCTTCTGAGCAATGTACAACTTTTGCTACTGTCATCACGCGAGATGAATGAGTGTGTGGTGCTTAAGACTCTTTCAATGAAACATTCATTTTTGCGGAGAGCAATGGTACTGAGTTGTGAAGTGTACTACAAGGCATGGCTGAAAATTTAAATCTGTGATACTTTTGTAGAACTATCATATTTTCATTTTAAGAAGATGTGTCATTGACATCATTAAAATATGTAGTTTGAAACTTTAGTATATATTAACATAGTAAGCACTTACAACAATGACATTAACCTCTTGATGTCCTATCAATGTGATGGCATGTCTTGAACATGTAAATGTGTGTATATACTTTATGTATGCCTAGATACTACCTATATCTTGTAGGCTTGCTTGAAGAATCGTTTCTAGAATTTCTTGATAATGTGAAATTGTTGCCGCAATCCCGTAGACTTGCGTGTGTGTCGCTCACAGTAGACACAGTTGATTCCAAGGTCCGGTGACTGGGTCAATGTTCACGAAAATCCTGTGTACAGCAAACCACCGCTCTTGGTCACACTAGGACATCCACCATACCATACCTCAGAATGTTGAGACCATCTCTCAGACCGGATGTGTCATCATCACTAGGGTGGGTGCTGGGGTGCTGGTAACTGGGGGTTGTTCACGCCATACGAAAGAATTTTGTTGACCGGATGTTGATTGATGAGCAGTCACAACAACTGCAGTCACGTCCTGTCACACCCTGGGTAGTGAACGAATCATTTGCAGAAACTAATGTTCACTTCAACTCACAGGATTGTTGCGTTGGCAAATTCCTCATTCTGGTAATGAAGATTACTCTTCAAAATTGCAGGTACTATCTTCCAACTCTTGCTGCTGTATTCACGCTGTGAAAGTGTGTGGTTGAGGTCAAGAGGTATCTCTGACGCACGATCCGCCTTCCTCTTAATAGGATTGGTGGACAACACTTTCGATCTAGCGGTGAGCATAGGTTTAGAATGGCTCATAGCGTTGTAGGAAACACCTTTAAACGTAATAGTATTATTACGTGGAAGAACATCTATCATGTTCGTTTTAAGAGTTGGGAGACCAAGTAACCCGTCGGCTGGCAATTTAAACTGCTGGACTATATAAAAGTCCGCATATAAGGGAGAACCACATCTTGAAAATCTGAGTGGTAACGTCACCATTTCATGAATGCTCAGCTGAGTACCTGATACTCTTTCGAGCTCAGCGTTACTAGGTCGCCATATGAAGTCTCGGTGAGGGAATTTACTTTGTAACTCTTGATAGGATGTCAAGGCCAATACATTAGCGCAAGCACCTGTGTCTATATCAAGAGCCAATCTGGTATTATCCACTCTCACCGGCACTGACAACACTTCAACTTTGCTTAGCGCCGCTATTAACGATGCCGCTATAGAAGTGCTGTGAGGAGGGGCGGGAATTACCCTTGCTATCCCTCTCCTTGGTGTAGTAAATGTAACACATATAACAATATCTGTGATTGCTACTGCATATATATATATATATATATATATATATATATATATATATATATATATATATATATATATATATATATATATATATATATATCTATATATATATATATATATATATATATATATACAGTATTACCCCGCTTAACGCGCTTTCACTTAACGCGTTTTCGCATATACGCGGTGCCTTGCCAAAGCTGAACTTTCACTTAACGCGGCATTTTTCATCATATACGCGGTGAGTG